TTAGAACTAAAGCTCTAAGGTTATGTGAGGGTAGATGTTTTTGATTATGGGGATAAACCAGCTTACGTTGCACAATATGGTAGAAATCCTTTTATTATTTGGAATGGTTCAGCAAAATCTTGTAATTCTAGAAGATAAAACTTATTAGAGATGGAAATAACATGAAGTAAGACTCCAATTATTCTAAAAAGAATGATTCTAGAAAAAAAAATTACATCCAGAGTGTCATATTTATTTTAACTTTCACATTTATAATATCAGTATGGATGTGAAAGTGAGTTTGTCTGTTTGTTACGCTTTCACGACAAAACCACTGAACCGATTTTGAAAATTTCTTTACCAATGGAAAGCTACATTATCAGCGAGTAACATAGGCATAGACTTTTTATTGAGATAATCAACATATTACTTTGAGCTATAAGGAAGGTACTAGTACTTGTCTAACCTAGTTTAAGGTAATTATTGTATATTTATACTTGGTGTACAATAAAGCGATATATTATTATTACTAAAGCTAGTATTTTTGTTTTCTTGGACAAAATGGAAAAGATAAAAAAAAGGAAATTCATATTGAGGTTATTTAATAGCACATAATATACAATACTTTTGTAAATCGTTCGGGAGATAACTTCAGTTCACATCAAAATGTCTGGTTTTTTATAAGCGCAGACACTTTCTATGTATATTGTTAGTATATACATATTTAATCTATGAATTGGATATTGGTGTGTTCTTTACACCTATGTTTGCAGCAATTTGCATGAGTCTCAGGGCACTAAATTTTAAAATACGTTTCTCCCAACTATCACAATGAAAGCCGAAGAACTCGTTAGCAGATGCAACCGATAATGTCTAAGAACGAACTCAATCAAATCAGTTTTTATAAATTCGTACAGTATGTTACATACATACTGTTAGTTTTACTGGATAATAGCCATAACGGGATAGTAATGTGTGTAAAATACCAATAAATCAGTAAAAACTTTGGGCTCGTCCGGGATTTGAACCCGGGACCTCTCGCACCCTAAGCGAAAATCATACCCCTAGACCAACGAGCCGACTATTTGATATTTACAAATACAGTATAACATAATAAAAGACAATCTCACTTTCACTAACGTGACGTTTACAATAACGTAATTATTGTTATTATTACAACATCTATAGAAAGGCACGTATGCACGTAAATTTCTTAAATCAGACAATATCTACGTCATCCGTGCTGACTGCACTGCTGTTTAAGCGGTCGCCACGCCGTTCACTACGCTGTGTGGGACATGGGTCGACACTTTGTGTGATTCACAAATTGTTGTTCTGAGTCTGGGCGTTCTTTGTGTTTATTTTATGTATGTTTGTAAAGTCCCCCGCGACACAGGATTTATTCCTAGTGCGGGAGTTGTCTTAAAATATAAAATATATAGATTTAAGTTCATTTAAGTCGCACATATGTAATGATCACACAATTGAAATAAGTAAGAGAATGAAAGGTCATCTGAGGCCAACGGCGCCAGGGCAAATAAACCGTCTTAAGTTACTTTGATTCAGCACTAAAGTTGATATTAATATTTATTCTATGCACATTTGAGAAACAGAACTTTTGAGTTAGTAAGAGAGTTGTGGAAGATAAATAAATTGTTCAGTTCAGTTCACATCAAAATGTTTGGTTTTTCAAAATACAAAATTCGAGCTGTACCCTGACACACTTTGCTGTGGCACCTTGTGGTTGCATTTATGTGAAATAAAGATTTAAAAAAAAACCTCTTTAAACCGATTTGTGTATCGTGTGAAAATTTGATCTCAATCAGTGCAGACCTTTTAGTATTTTTGAAGCTTAAACAGACCAACTTACCATTTCTGTATAATATATCGATATAGATTACTCACTTCTGTATATCATCAACAGCCTCTAACAGTAAACTGCTGGACATAGGCCTCTCCTTAGAAAGGAGGTTGTGGCCTACTATACCACGCTGGCCAGATATGTTGATATAGGGTTTGTTTCAAGTTTTCCTTCTCTTTGCAGTTCTGTTGTCCTGCTTAGTTTTACTCCCTTGTTCGACTGGTGGTAATCCTCCTTAACCCATAACTTAAGTACATACTGACTTCAGTTATTTATTAAGTACACTGATAATGATACTACAAAAAAACATATTGCCTACATTTTTTTTGCTGACATCAACAAATTACTCTGCCTGGTTAAAGTATGCGCATAAACATGTTATAAAATACCACAAATAGTTATATTAAAATATTAAACTTTAAAAGTACTACCATTAATATTCCTTCATACGTATTAGCCTATCTCGCGTCAAGTTTCCACTAACACGCGCAAACGTCCCGAAGTGCAGCAGACTAACAATATTTCGTCTGGCAACTTTGCGACTTTTTGTTAAGGGAATACTTACACCTGATCCTATAATATTGCCACTACAAAATTTGTTCTAATTATATTGCTGAACTTAGTCTGAGTAGTGTTTTAGTCATCTTAGTGTTATTATAAATGCGCAAGTTTGGATGGATTGATGTAAAACGGATTTAAATGAAATTAGGTACTAAGATAGTCCTTGTTATTATGAAAATTGATTGTGTAAAAGGCTCGACCGGAGTGATACCACGGCTTTACAGAAAACCGGCGTTATCTATACTCTCGTTGCTTTTTACCAAGTCAGTGTGGTTACGGGAGGCCTAACCCAAAATGTACTGGTATCTCTAAAGTGCAACTCTGTATCTACGGGCGACCAGCGGTAGTTAATTACCAAAATCAAAAATAAATAATTTATAAACACCGTAGGTACATACTTATTATTTTATTAAATTTCAAGACATTTTTAATTTTGTTTTGTATTATTACATGCCAAAACAATATAAAAGTATAAATTTCTAAGTATATACATCATCACATCAACAGCCTTTAATAGTCCACTGCTGGACATAGGCCTCTCCCTAGAAAGGAGGTTTACATACATGGATTTATCTAAAAATATTGCTTTAAACTTAGTTTACGAACAAAGCCGGAATGTTTAATTAGACTAAGATCTAAGAAAAAAGGGTCGCTCTGTAATTTCCGGATTAAGCGATTTTTTTTATGTTAGAGGGGGCAGATCGCCGCCCATGAAAGTCTGCAACTCAAAAGTCAAATAACACAATAATATGTGAATATACAAACTATGTCCACAATGTACAAATTGTCTTGTCGGAACACCCACGCAAAATTACCAAAGTTCAGTTCTCAAGCATTACAAGTTCCAAACAGATGCCGCATGAGGGATGCGTGAATGTGCGTATGTGCCCATTTCAGTACTTACACATACCTACATACAAGACAAACATCAATTGAGCGCTTTTTGTTTGTTGACGGGGTAAATCTATTCGGATCTCCGGCTCAACGGAGATGCTGGAGCCACACCAATAAAAAGGTCTCTAAAGGTCCCTACTCTGGGCAGGACCCGGACCATGTTATTTCAGGTCAAAAAAAAACTTTCTCGCCAAAACTACTGAACCGATTTTGAAAATTCCTTTACCAATGGAAAGCTACATTGTCAGCGAGTAACATAAGCGTGCTAACAGTGGTTTTCTATGGAGTTGTGGTCAAGTCAGTCCACTGTCAGCATGGTTGTCCAACATTTCCTTGTGAGTGCCCACACACAAAAATAAGTATTAATTCATAATAATTTCTATACTGAGCTGAAATTGTATCAGCAACCGCTATCAAATACTCGTAATGCCAAATAGATTGTTAAATAAAAAATGTATCTGCATATTTTTACCTCTACATTTGAATAAAGTCCTATATCACAACCACAATTCACGCATTACCAACCTTGTTCAAGTGAAACAAACACCCCGACCGTCCAATATCATGTATTCCGATACTTTTTGTGTTGTTGACAAAGTGCCACACCTGACACCCAATGTGGTGTTCTGTCGGTGTGAGTTACGACGCATCGTCCTTTGTCATTGAGATTTTCACTGAGCGAGGCATTATTCACTAGGTCATTATTATATACTCTGTAAGCTTTACGGGTGACAGTTTCAAATAACATTGTATTGGGGTGAAAGTTGAAGTCGGGAAGTTATTAAGGACATCAATCAAAAATACCGTAATTAAATACCAGTAGTATTTAAAATTATGTTTTCAATTTTTGTGTTTAATTCATGGAACATTATTATTACTATTTTATTATTTAATAATATACCCCACACATCTCACACAAGGCCGTCTGATCCCAAACTAGGCAGAGCCTGTGCTATGGTGACCAGACTGCTGATAAACATACTTATATATTTTTAAATACATACATATCATAGATAAATTACACACAGACACAGAAAAAATAATCATGCTCATCACACAATATTTGTCCCGGGTGGGAATCGAACCCACGACCTCCGGCTTAGCAGTCAGGGGCACTAACTATAGGATCGTGTGTGTAGCTGACCGAGTGGTAAATTAACGAAAATAAAGGAAATTAAGAGTCAACGAAATTCCGATATATTTTACACTACACAGATATTACACAGTAACAGTCTACATAAGAAACACGTAAGAACGACACATATACAATAGGTACAGAAGGTGAGAAAATACTAGTTTATAGAAAATATACGAAAGATAACAATTTACGGTAAGGGCGGTAGCTAAAGGCATCGAGTGCAATTCACGACTGGCTAGCGGCGGGAGCCGAAGGAATGGAATGTGTTCTCGCTCGGTTCGTGGCCGCGCCGCCGCCGCTGTGACGTAGCACTCGATGCAATAGATATAAACAATATATTTAACCCTGTCGGTTTGTCCGACAGCTATTTAATTATATAAAACAATATTCTTCGAAGTATGAAAATAGATATATGTAATAACGACATTAACAAAATGAAATAATTAAATTAATAAAAAGTATTTACGAGTATAAACTAACATAGTTACAATGCACAAAAATGTTTACACATTAAATAAGTACATAAATAAGTAGGGTCCGCTACATCACCCCCCCCTTGAGACCGTCCTACGGGCGATAATAGTCAGGAAAGTGCACTTTGCGCCCTGACCGAGTCCTTCTAACATTAAGTTCCTCAGGATCAGGTTGACTGGGAGTCTGGGATGAGTTATGTAGTAGCGGCGTGTATGATGTATGTTGGTTTGTGTCTGAATTTAAATGTGTATTTCTGGTGTGTGAGTCATGCAATATGTAGGCTGGTTTAATACGGTCTACTGATACTGTGACTTTTTTACCGTTCATAAGAATAGTTAACACTTTATCGTTCCTTTGAAGTACCTCGTAGGGGCCTGTATATGCAGGTTTTAGGGACCCGCGGTTTATTTCTTCCCTAAGTAAGATGTGGGATGCTGTGGCAAGATCTTTAGAAACGAACACTGTTCGATTCCCGTGTCGTGATGCTGGTAATGGCTGTAATTGCCTAGCAAACATACGAATTCGTGACAGGTAGTCGGTCACGTCATTAAATTCGCTTCCTTGGGACTCTAAAAACTCTCCAGGTAATCTAAGGGTCTCCCCGTAAACAAGCTCGGCTGGAGAAGCTTTAATGTCTTCCTTATAAGCACTCCGTATACCAAGAAGTACTAGTGGGAGAGATTCAACCCAGTTATCAGTGCCGTGACATGTAATTGCGGCCTTCAACTGTCTGTGGAATCTTTCCACCATACCGTTACAGGCTGGGTGGTAGGCTGTTGTATGCTTGTGTTTGAAACCGATTAACTCCGATAGACGTTTAAACAAAGCTGATTCGAATTGTGCCCCCCGATCGGTGACGATATCCACGGGACATCCAAAACGAGCTATCCATCCATATAGTAAGGCATTGACCACAGTCTCAGCGGTGATATCACGTATTGGTATAGCCTCTGACCAACGTGTGAATCTATCAACAGCTGTGAGACAATACCTATATCCATGAGACATAGGCAATGGACCTACCAAATCTATATGGATGTGCGCGAACCTCGCTCGTGGTAATTTATATGTGCCGACCGGTGATAAGGTATGCCGAGAGACTTTGGACCTTTGACAAGCTAGGCATGCCTGTGTCCATGTTCTGCAGTCCTTCCTAATACCCGGCCAAACATATCGTTCAGCAACAAGTTTGGCAGTTGCTTTAGTACCTGGGTGGCTAAAGGAATGCAGACTCTCGAAGACTCGATGACGAAGTTCCTGTGGGACGTATGGTCGGGGGGTGTTGGTACTCACGTCACAGAACAGTTCAGTATCCAGTGTTCCCGGAACTCTGACCTTTTTCAAGCACAATGATGTGTTACGTACCAGTAGTCTGCTTAACTCCGTGTCGGAGTCTTGATGCTTTGCTAACTGTTCTAAGTCTACTGGTATAGCAATTTCCTCTATCCTGGATAAGGTATCTGCGACAATATTGTCCTTACCAGATATGTGCTTAATGTCAGTGGTAAATTGGGATATAAAATCTAGATGCCTGAATTGTCTGGGCGAGCAGTTCTCCTTACGGGAGTGAAATGCGTAGCACAGAGGTTTATGGTCAGTAAATACTACAAAGTCCCTTGCCTCAACCATATGTCGAAAATATTTTATTGCCTCATAAATGGCTAATAGTTCACGATCATAGGGTGAGTACTTACACTGTGAAGGACTTAGCTTCCGGGAAAAGAAAGCAAGAGGTTGCCATACGCCATCACCTCGCTGCTGTTGTAGTGCTGCGCCTAATGCCGTGTCTGAGGCGTCAGTTACTATGGCCAACTTGTATTGGCTATTCGGGTGTGCTAACAAGGTAGCATTACATAGGCTTGTCTTGCAAGCCCTGAAAGCTTCATGCTCGTCCTCGGTGAATGTAACAGGGTGGGAACCCTTTACAGAACCTTCCAGTAGCACATTCAGAGGCGCTTGTTTCTGTGCAGCGTCAGGAATGAAGCGCCTGTAGAAATTAAGCATTCCTAAGAATCGCCTTAATTGTTTCACAGTCTTTGGGGCTGGGAAGTCCTGGATGGCCTGGACCTTGGCTGGGAGCGGCATAGTGCCTTTGGCTGATATGCGATAACCTAAGAATGTTACCTCTGAAGCACCGAAAACACACTTAGATGTGTTGATGACCATGCCGTACTCCTTCAGCCTGGTGAATACCTCTCGTAAGTGACGTTTATGGGTTTCCTCATCCTGTGAAAATACTAAAAAATCGTCCAAATATGGGTAGCAATAGTCCAGCCCGCGAAGCATCTCATCTACAAAACGCTGGAAAGTCTGTGCGGCATTACGAAGACCAAAGGTCATGTACTGGAATTCGTAGAGGCCAAATGGTGTTGCGATGGCGGTCTTCGGAATATCCTCAGGGTTGAGTCTTATCTGATTGTACGCTCTAACCAGGTCTATGGTAGAGAAGACCTTACATCCCGAAAGACCATGCGCGAAGTCCTGGATGTGGCGAATAGGGTACTTATCTGGGATGGTCCTAGCATTAAGCATCCTATAGTCCCCACAGGGACGCCATCCGCACTCCTTTTTAGGAGCCAGATGAAGTGGAGAAGACCACGATGAGTCGGAAGGTCTGGCTATACCCAGCTGTAACATAGTAGTAAACTCCTCTTTAGCGATCTTTAGTTTATCAGGAGCCAGCCTACGTGGTTTACATGATACAGGCGGTCCGGGTGTAGTACGTATGTAGTGTACTGTATTGTGTTTAGGTGTTGAGTGTGTGCCAGATGGGCGAGTAATGTCGGGAAATTCCATTAGTAAACTATGATAAACAGACTCACCAGTGACAACCTTAACCGAAGAAATAATGTCACAAGGATAGACAGGCAAAGCCACGGTCGCGAGACTTGTGTTGTTATCCACTAATTTCTGATTCCTGCAATCAACAACCAAGTTAAAGTGAGACAAAAAATCTACGCCTATTATCGCCTTGGTGACGTCTGCAATTACGAAACGCCAGGGAAAGTCACGGCGCAACCCGAGATTTAATAATAGATTTATATAACCATAAGTCTGTATTCTACTGCCATTAGCCGCACACAATTCATAATTTGTTTTATTTAGTTTTTGATTTAACATTTTAATTGGAAAAACACATAAGTCACTACCAGTGTCAATTAAAAATTGTACCTTCGTTTTCACATCCGTAACGAACAGGCGACCGGTAGTCGGACGGTCGTTTGTCGCCATTACCGACCGCCCGCGTCGTTTTCCGAGTAGTCGCAGGGTTTAACACAACATTTCGCTTTACCCCCAAATTTGGTATGATACCAACACAGGGGATGGTTGCGGTAATTAGATGCCGACCTTGTGGAATGAGATCGACGACGATGACGGCTCGTCCTTGTCGTGTCGCTCGTGATCTCCTGACCTCAGTTGAAAGCGTTCTAACCTGTTCAGTGAGCGCTGCTATTTGTCGCTCCATTGTGACTACTAAGCTGTCTGGTGGTGTGTGGGATGTGGAGGCTACGTGTTGGTAGGATGGGACCACATCGTGTATGCGGTCTGCCAGGTCTGTCAACTCCTCCAAAGATGCTTTCAGCTGCGATGCAATGATTGTTTGCGTCCCTTGCGGTAGCCGACTCGACCAAATGGTTTTTAAAAAATCTTCCGGTACACCGGGGCCAGCTAAATTTTGCAAGTGTCGTAAAAATTGCGACGGCTTTCTGTCCCCGAGCTCCTCATGGGTAAGCAGCTGCTTCACCTTCTTTTCACGACTTGCTGAGAGTCGCTTGATCAGCTCCGCTTTCAGCTTATCGTATTTTCCGCTTGTAGGCGGTGATGTAATAATATCTTCTACCTCCGCCGCATATTGTGGCTCCAGTTGGGCGATGGTATTGTAGAACCTCGTCGTATCACTCGATATGTTCGACAGGACGAACTGCCCTTCCAGCTGAGCGAACCACAACGCTGGTTTCTCTGGGTAGAATGGTGGTACCCGCACGCCAACGCGGCATGACTCCGCGTACTCCTGTTCTTCTTTCGGCATTTTTTTTGTAGTATTCTTCCTCGTGTACAGTTCGGGGTCACCAGTTATAGGATCGTGTGTGTAGCTGACCGAGTGGTAAATTAACGAAAATAAAGGAAATTAAGAGTCAACGAAATTCCGATATATTTTACACTACACAGATATTACACAGTAACAGTCTACATAAGAAACACGTAAGAACGACACATATACAATAGGTACAGAAGGTGAGAAAATACTAGTTTATAGAAAATATACGAAAGATAACAATTTACGGTAAGGGCGGTAGCTAAAGGCATCGAGTGCAATTCACGACTGGCTAGCGGCGGGAGCCGAAGGAATGGAATGTGTTCTCGCTCGGTTCGTGGCCGCGCCGCCGCCGCTGTGACGTAGCACTCGATGCAATAGATATAAACAATATATTTAACCCTGTCGGTTTGTCCGACAGCTATTTAATTATATAAAACAATATTCTTCGAAGTATGAAAATAGATATATGTAATAACGACATTAACAAAATGAAATAATTAAATTAATAAAAAGTATTTACGAGTATAAACTAACATAGTTACAATGCACAAAAATGTTTACACATTAAATAAGTACATAAATAAGTAGGGTCCGCTACACTAACCACTAGAACAACAGGCCCGTATTGAGCCGAAGCCAATTTTATTTAGGTTCATAGTAATTTTTATAGGATACATGCTCACGTTTTTTATTTTAGAAGGGGTAGACTGAGACGTATTAGACGCCCACATTTTGCCAACTTTACTTCTAGTCCGACCCACATATTATATTTTTAAATAAACATACTTATATATTCCTAAGTACATACATATTGTAGATAAATTATATGCCGACAGAACAAATGATCATGCTCATCGCACAATATTTGTCGCGGGTGGGAATCGAACCCACGACCTCCGGCTTAGCAGTCAGGGGCCCTAACCACTAAAACAACAGGCCCGTATTGAGTTATAACAACAGAATCAGTTTATTCAGTGTATCAGTTTATTATAAAAAAGAATCTATAGGTTAGAACGTAAATTTAGAACACATTCAACAAATACTTTGGTGAAATGTATATTTACACTGTCACTTATAGTTTACCAGCACTGGTGCTAAGGAACGTGATTCTACTCACGACCTAAAGCCGTTTTAACACAATAGAAAAAACACAAAAGCCTCATAGATTTGTGGAGTGCGATAATCTACACTTTGAGCTCTTTTCATCATACAGTTTACAATAGTAAATACTAAAAGGTTTATAGGTTGATGGGCGATTGGATTATTGAGTAGTAATACAAAAGTATTATTCGGGAGTTATTACTTTCTCAGGATCAAAATAGCGCCAAATAATTGTATTACTATATAGTCTTTAGAGTTTCTTAGCCCTATGTCTCTGATAGATATAATATATATTAATATTTCGGACAACTAACACACAACGCCATCTAGTTTCAAACTAAGCAGAGCTATGAAAGCTAGATTGGCTGATAGAATACTTTTATACGTTTTTTGTAAATACATACATAGAAAACACCCAAACTCCGAAAAAAATATTTGCAGATCGTAGAAACGATGATGTGGGATGATAATAATAATATGATATTAATTTCTGCAAGTAAATCTTTTCAGATAGTTTTACAGGTTGGAAGTTACCGGCCTAGTGGTCTTTTCAACCATAGGGTCAGGGTTGCGTACCTGTATGACCTCATGACCCCATACAGGTGTGTGACTCCGCCTTCTTTGAGCTACTTCAGTTTTAGCCCCATTTTACTTTCTACGCTTGTGGTATCATTCTCCCTAACTCATATACTCCCAAAAAATTATGTTAAACCAGCCAAAGCCAATTTCATTTAGGTTCATAGTAATTTTCATAGTATACATGCTCACGTTTTTTATTCTAGAATGGGTAGACTGAGACGTATTAGACGCCCACATTTTGCCGATTTTACTTCTAGTCGGACTCACGTATAAAAAAGAAATACGAACGTAACGTATTAAAAATATATTAAATAAACATACTTGTAAATTCCTAAGTACATCCATATTGTAGTTAAATTATATGCAGACAGAACAAAATGATCATGCTCATCATACAATTATTTGTCCTGGATGGGAATCAAACCCACGACCCCTCTGGCTTAGCAGTCAATTTCACTAATCACAGGATCAACAGGCCCGTAAATTTGAAATATTTTTTAAATATATAATCATTAGTCGACATCTGAAGATCGCAATCATGATATTAAAAAATATTTATTTGGGATATTATAAATTGGATATACCTTTTAAGCAACACACCCACTGAGATCTCTATAAGGTAAATAATATTATAGATAGTTCAACTCAGTTGTGCGCGCGGCCCTATGTGTGCGTGGGCTTGTAAATATACAACTTTCATTCGTGTGGCAGTCGTCGTCCGACTGCCGCGTCACTGCCACACGAATGAAAGTTGTATATTTACAAGCCCACGGACACATAGGGCCGCGCGCATAACTGAGATGAACTATCTATACATGAATTCGAAATTAGCATACTCCCAAGATTAGCTAAATATTTCGGTAGTAAACTGCAGAATCTCTGTATATAAGACGTGAACTATTTTGAATTG